TAATGGTTTTTTATTATCAAATTTAGATATGTCATGTATGAAACAGATAATTCAACAATCTATAATAAAAATGAATGAGGTCTAAAATAATAAATTTTAGGATTCTTTTAAAAATAAATTATTTAAATTCAGACAAAAACCTTATACAGTATGAAAATATTAGGCTACTTACTTGTCTTTGACAATCTTCACCATCTTCATACAGCCAATTTTCCATTGCATCTAAATCGCTGCATAATTGTGATCGTTCTTGCTCTGGTAAAAACATGGCCAATTGATCTTCAGATTGTAATTTGCCTCGCAATTCATAAACATATTCTTCCAAAGCATTTCTAGCATCCGCCCTCTCTTTTTCTTGTTTATCTGATGAAATCATTTTGCACTAAAAATACAAACTTTAATTTAGTGAATTTATTCTTATGAAAAATGCTTGGTTTGGATGAGTTTTCAGTTATAAGAAACAAAAGCAATCAACACCACTACAGTATTTCAATTCTACATACTCACCTCTTGTTCAAAATAATTATTCAGATCCGATTGGGTATATCCATGAGTGTAAGCATCAATAGGGAGCTCAGTTGATTTAACAGTAATTTTCTTTTCTTTCTTCTTATCCTTTTTGTCAGAAGCATTGAGATCATTTTGATGATCCTATAAGCATGCAAAGCTTTAAAATGTAATAAATAGTAAAATACTATCGCACATGCTTGTCCCTCTTTCAGTGTTTCTATTGTGAGATTGACATTAATATATTTTTTTTCTCAATAACATGTGCTTAAACTTTTCTTACAGCAAGATGTATCAGACAAGCATGTGCGCAAAAGCTAAAATTTGACTTTAATTATATAATTAGGAGAATCACAATTATGCATTCAAAACAACTGGGTATATAAATCAAGAACACATATATTATGTTTATACATGCATACCCACATACACACTAATACATAAACAGATAAAAATATACCTAACTACATACATATATCTAGACATATGTATATATACTCATAAATACACTAATATTTACAATTTTTATTGCAAATATTGTTGTATACTTTTAAATATAATAGTTTAAAAAATTGGGACAAGCTTGTGCGACAGTATTCAGTTCTGTGGTATGAATTATCACAGTAACGTACCGAACTGAACCATTGTGTGACACGTTGTGCCCACCCAGCCTCTTGGGCTGTATCTCCTAATCCTACCTCTTCATTTCCAGCGCAACCAGATCCTCCATTAGGTTCAGATTTTGAATTTTCTTGGTCCATATTTTCAACACCTTCTTGTTCTTGTTGCATGGCTTCAGGCTCATTACTCTGATGTTTCTCTAGGAGGCATGCACTTGATATATGTACAATACCATGGATATTCACACGAACCTTGATTTTGATTTTTTGACTTTCTCCTTCAGGTGTTGGACGAATGTCTCTTATTGTCCAAGATCCTAATAATATCATTACATAGTTTATGTTTGATGAATTTCAACGAGTTAATATTAGTATTTGATTTTGAGATAGATTTATTCTTTACTCACCAATCAACGGATCTGGGAAAGGTACAGGATGTGAGTATACTGCTTTGATGGCAAAAGGTTCTTTTCTATAAAAGGTCAACATTTTACTGAATGGTGCAGCATGATAGGCAGGAAATACTTCCATTTCACCCTCTTCACCTGCACTTGCATCCCAAACTAGCTTAACAGGATAGTTCTGAAAATATTATAACCATTTTTAAGTAATTAATATGCATAACACATTTGTATCAATGTTGTAAACAGCATTTGCTGTTTACAGATTTTGGCAAAAATAATATTTGTAAAGATTTGCCTTACAATTTTTAAAAGAATTGTTATAAACAAAAAAAGTTTAAAGTTCTTATTACCTGTATGTCAGTCACGCTAAAGTCACGAACTCGAACAGCAGGACTGAGCATAGCACACTGCAAAGCAGCTCCACGAGCTACAGCTTCATCTTGGTTTAATGTAGTACTAGGGCTTTTACCAAACACACTTTCTATCAAATGTTTTATGTAAGGTATTCGGCTACTGCCTCCAACAATTTCCACCGAATGTATTTCATCAAGGCGCAATTCTAAAAATACATGTTCATGTGATTAATTAAGAAAAACAAAGAAAAGTTTGAGTGTGTCTGAATGCCAAAAAAAACATTATGGATGCAATCATGATGTCCCATAACTTACTCGAATCATCCAAACATTTCTTCAATGTTCTCCCTACTCTTTGGAATAAACCAGCACATAGTTCCTCCATAATTGATCTTTGCATCTCGCTGTGAACATCCTTATCTTCCATAAAACATTCTATATTTAATGGCAATTTTGTACTGTTTGCAGACATTTGCTTTTTTATTTTCTCTACTTCAGCCAGTAGTCTAATGTATGCTCTAGCATTACTCTTTGCATCAATCCTATAGCGTGATTTGAATTCATTACAAAAATGTTCTGCTAGTATCATATCTATGTCACGACCTCCGCAATGAGGATCTGATGCACTGGCTATCATCCGCAATTTACCACGATGAAAGGCGCATGAATAAACCTACAATATTTAAGAATTATTTTTTAATAAATACAACAATATTGAAATACAACATTGAAAACAATATTTAGTTCAAAACTTTAGTGGTAAATTTTAGTTTTAAATATCATAATACTTTTAAAATTTTAATACACATGCAAAGAAGAAATTCTCAATATGTTATTTTATTAACCTGTAATGATGCATGACCACAATCGACAAATACAACATTACGTGGTTTGTCCTCTGGAGCTGGCAAATCTTGTTTATATATACCATAAGCAAGAGCTGTGGCTGTTGTTTCGTTCATCAATCTTAACACATTCAGACCTGGAAATTAAATACATGCTTGAGTGTAAAAAAAATATATCAAGTATTTAACTTGCACCAAAAAGAAAGATTCTGTATATAAGCATAAAATGTTAATGCACACTGTAATAAATTACTTTAACTGTTAACTCACTTATACAAAAGTTTATTAAAAAAATATTTACTGAATTAGATAGCGTTCAAATTAATGTTGTGATAGGTATTTCATTAATTACAGATGTAAGTTATTTTGTACAATTTATTAAAATGGTACATATTAGTGATACATGTTTTACAAACTACAATAAGATGCATACCAGCAATAGAAGCAGCATCCAACAATGCCCTTCTTTCTGCATTTGTGAAGTATGATGGCACAGAAATAACACAATCATTAACTTGAGTTTGAAGAGCATTTGCAGAAGTTTCTTTAAGCTTTGTAAATAACATTGCGGTCACTTGTTCAGGTGAAAACACATGCTCTTCATCCAAGTAATGTACCTATGACAGTTTTATTTTATTTTATAACGAGAAAAAAAATCCAATGCATATATAGCAATAAACACCAAAGACTATGTGTTTACTTTGTAAATAAAATAAAAGTTTTATTTAAACTGTTATTAAACATATTGCATACTTCCATAATATATAATAAAATATACTTTTTATTATTTCATTCGATTAAATAAAACAAAATCAATTGTGTTAATAAATCACTGCATTTGGTAGTATATTCCAAATTTTTTAAAATAACATTCAAAAAAAGTCTAAGTATCAGATATCATGAACTAATACTGATTAAGAATTTTTACCCGAATTCCAATGCCACCATCAGGCCTCTGTTCAGTTCGAAATGGCAAAGAACGTAATTCATTTTGAACATGAGGATCATTATACCTGCGCCCTAAAAGGCGTTTAAAACCCCATACAGTGTTTTTCATATTTGTGACCAATTGGTTTTTGGCAGCAACACCCAGCACACGATTCTTTCCAGAAAATGCCACACATGATCTAACAAGAATTTAATATATAAGCTGAATATGATGATTTAAGAAGATAATGAGCATGTGTTTTGTTTGAAGAAAATGTACTTTTAAATGAACAATGCACTAAATAAATGTGCAGATTGCTATATAGGATAGTGGCAATCAATGTCTATCATAAAAAAGTAAAATCTCTATTACAATTTTGGTATGTCCTTGAAAAATTAATAAAGGTAATAAATAATATGGTATATAGGTTAAACTTAAATTGTAATAACGCGGCGACATAAGCAGTATATTATTTCATAGATTTTTATTATCAATATGAGATTTTATTAATGCTTTGATATAAAAAAACGCATGGTCTGATAACCCACCCGGCATACTCATTATTGCACAATCACTGCACGTTACACTATTGCTTCCTATATTTTTATTATCAAACAACTACTAAAACAGAAAACTTACGGAGTTCCTCGCAAGCTATAATCGTTAGCTATAGTTTCAATGCCACCTGATTTTGCAACAGCGACATAACAAGATTCATTTCCAAAATCAATTCCAATAACAGACATAGCAGCCATTGTGTAATATTAATTAATCACTTTTCCTCCGAAAATTTTAAGTTTATATACTGAACGTATATATAGATATGTCAACCTTATTTGGAAAATTCTAGAAACTAATGGATGACAAATTTCGAGCTGTTTCTCGAAATCTCCGTTAAGTACTTGGTACCAATTCTTACTGCGCTGAACTTGCTCAAATATATACGAAAATTCCAGAAATTTGTTAGGTTACCTGATGACATAACTGAGCAGGCAGCGACATCAGTAATGGAATTTGACAAAACTGAAACGCGGGATTTTTGAAGTTTCAATAAATAGAGTATCATGTGTTTATTCATATTTAAATTTTTGGGTTCTGATGAAAAACATAAATTATATTAATTGATATTAATTAATAATTATTAATTGTTTGAGAACTAAGATTGGGTATGTCTAAAGCATCGAATTAATGAGTTAAAACTGTGTTTCAGAAGCTAATCTGAAAATAAAAAGTCTACATATTTAACTATATTTCTGACTCTACAGAATAATATTTGACAACTATCTTTTATATGTATGATTGCATGCTGCTAGAAATAACATCAAATTAAAAAAACATCATTAGTGTACTACACAAATAATTTATTCAATATAATCTACAATAACATATTATTAAATTTAAACATCATTTTCATAATCAGCTGGATTTTTCCTCTGCAATTGAGCATACTTCTTTTCAACAGTATCATAAACCAAATATGCTATTATAGTTGCTGAAATATAAAATATTTTATATAGAAATAAATATCAATTGTTAATAAAGTATAAATTATATTCATTTCATGTTATTCAAGTATATGTTATAAACATTTTGATATATGTATTTATAGATTTGATAAGTACATAAAATGGCTTAGCAATCAGAAATTAAAGCATTATCCAAACCTTGTGGTCTACCAAGAAATAATTTAAGATTACCAAGAAGTAATTTAGAATATTATTTCCTCGGTAAAAACATATTTAATGTTAAAAATATGCAGACATATCATATATATATATATATATATATAAATATTTATATATATATATATTTATATATATATATATATATATATATAGTGGCGTCGGAACCAAATTTTTGATGGTGGCTCGTTTTTTTTTTTTTTTTTAGATAGACAGCCAGTGGTCTCATTTTTTTTTTTTTTTTTTAGAGATATTAGCCCATAATTTTTAGAAATTGAGTCAAAATTCATTCATTCCGGTTCCGACGCACTGTA